AAGGAAGGGCTGGCATTAAACCAGAGGGGATTGCTCGGGTGGCTAATAGGCTGGTGGTGTCAGGGAGCTGACATGCAGTTAAGCACCAGAAAGACACTCTCATACTGGAGGCAAGTGTGTAACACCGTGGCTCACAGTTCTGTGTACCCCGAGAACCATCCCAGATGTTCCATTCATCAAGAGAGCAGCTGCTTCCTATACCAGTTCTAGATTCCGACATTGTAATTGTCTAATAATTCAAAAGGGTCTATGAAAAGAAGATGATTATAAAGTCTTCAGGGCAGAGCATGTCTCTACTATGTACACATTTTTGGTTCTACTGCCATAAAAAATAACAACACCTGTTACTATAGATTAATCCCGATTTTTTACTAACCCAGAGTTTCCAAAATTGTTTATTGCCTTTCTATTCCCCCAGCCTTCTGATGGGCTATTGTATGGCCCCTGATTTTATGAAAGTTTTGGGTATCCCTCAAGATTTCATAAAATGGAGCTTTACCTGTAATACAAAAATATAATGAGTTCCCGTGGCTATTAGCCAGGATGGGCAGAGATGGTATTCCTAGCCTCTGTTTGCCAGAAGCTGGGATATAATATAATAAGTTCCTGTGGCTATTAGCCAGGATGGGCAGAGATGGTATTCCTAGCCTCTGTTTGCCAGAAGCTGGGAATGGGTGACAGGGGATGGATCACTCGATGATTTTCTGTTCTGTTCATTCCCTCTGGGGAACCTGGCATTGGCCACTGTTGGAAGACAGGATTCTGGGCTAGATGGACCTTTAGTCTGACCCAGTATGGCTGTTCTTATGTTCTTAGATATGCGTCCAGCTAATCTTCTTAACCTCATTAGGCAGAGTTTAAATGACTTGCCTATCTTCTCCTGTATATTATAGCCGTTCAATATTGTATCAAGATTAGATTAGATTCTCTGGACACAGCTTCAGGAGTTTCCATGCACATTGGCAATTGAAGTAATAACAATGATATTACACGATTGATAGCAGATTATGGAGATTCTTGATTTGAGAATTGATGTGCTCCCATTTGATTGCTGCTTTTTTGTTATGCTGAATCCAAGCCAACTGCTGGGATCCAATTTGGCAGCTGGCTTGTTAACTATGAGAGTCAGATGCAGGCATGAATTTTTACTTATCTAGCAGTGACATCTGGTTTTGTGTGACCTGGCAGCTCCTATTGTACAGACAGTGGGTTCGCTGATTAGGATGTCCTGAATCTCTGATTGGCATTTGCTTTTGGCTGATTATTTTCTTCATGTTTGTTTCTGTGACTGTAGAGAGATGCCTGCCCTAGAAAGAAATTCATAAGAGCTTTTAACACATGTATGAGTGGGGTTTCCTTGTGGTTATGTGTTCAGTCCTTAGAAGAACATTCATTTCAATACAGATTTACTTACTGTCTTTATGAATCAGATGGTGTTAATGCACATTTACAATGCTTAGCACTTTTCAGCCAGAAGGATGACAAAGCCCAATTCAAACGTATCGAGTCCACAGGAATACCACTTCCCATCACTGAAACGCAGCCACCTGTTGCGTTTAGCAAGACTGCTGTTTAAAAACACACAGCAATAATACGTGACTGGCTAGATACTGCAAAAGGAAACATTTACTTAGGCAGAATATAATTACCAAAGCTGGAAGCTGATAAGGGCATCTTTCAAAAAGTGTGAGGGTATCCTTAATACTGACCACTGCTCAGGACCTCAGTTTTATATGTCATTTGAAAGATGGCATCTCTACTAGCACAATGTTAACAGCTCGTTCCAGTTCACTATTGACTTAGAGGGAAAAGTGCCACTTATTGAATCACAAACACTTTTCTTGTAGCTACTATGTTTTTCATTAGAGGTGTCCCAATCTAAGTATGCACAAACTGCTCAGCTTATCATATGCATCAAAATCCGGCCCAGGGCAGTATAGCAGCAAGACTTATATTGATTTCAAAGCTTCTCCGCTCCAAGAGTAAAATCTGCACAGGATACTCGGGATGGTTATCTATCAAAGTTCATGTTTAACTGTCCCAGTCCTACAAATGGGCATCAAGGGGGAGGGCAGACCTCTCTGTGCTATATTTTTACTTGCTTAGTATTTCATTGGCTTCTTTTGTTAAAAAAATTTTACAATGAAATCTTCTGTAGGAAAAATTAGATAAGCAGGATTATGTGGCATTTGGGGTTTGCTTGTAGAGATTTGTATTCAAACTGGAGTTAAAGCTTGCTGTTTGTGGTGATGCTTGATTAGAGAGGGAATTGTTGAGGAATCCTTTAACAAACTGGAGTCAAGCTCTGTGGCATTGTTGTCTCTTGAAGTGAGGACTCAACCTTGATCCTTTCAGACTGAACTGACAGCAATTTACAGAGTATAGTAAATTAACCTTTATCTTGCTTGCAAAGAACTTTTCTTGCTTTCACCCACTCTGTAAGCACCATATTTTCATTTCCAGCTTCTCTGGAAGTGGCATGCAGTTTTTCGGCTTCCCTTACACAAGAAACGGCCTTTCTTATGACTAATCTTTCAGTACCATCTTGATAACTCATAGACGCTGAGCATCATTTATCAACATGGTAGCAATCAGTCCTTTGGGTTCTTTCTAACTGGCTGACCAAAATATGAAACATATTAAATTAGCTCTGGCCCATATTCTTCAGCACTTACTTACGAGTACATTACTCTACTATTAGTCCCACTGGCTTCATGGAGTAAAGTGCTATTAAATGTGAGTAAATGTAACAGAAGCTGGCCCTATTTTTAAGGTAATTTTTCAAACCATTGCAGAGGGGTTTAGCAATGCAACTTCCGTTACAGTCAGGGATACTTGTCTGGCTAAAACCCCAAACCGTGCTTATTGTTTTGAAAATGTAGTGACTTTTACATAGTGAATAATAACAAGAATATCTGGCATTTATAGAGCAATTTACATCTGTTCAAAGGGGAGCTAATTAACACAGTAATATTTGTCTGTGGAAAAACCTTTACTTTTTGTGTGGTGTGAAAATAACAAAAGGAGGAGGAATTAATTGAGAAATGAGCTGCCCAGGTTGATCATTTTAATTTTTTTAAATCAGAAGACCTGTTCAGAAAGGCCTCATCCAATGGCCATTCTAGTCCATGGAAGGGCTTACATTGACTTCAGTGTATACTGGGTAAGGCCCAGAGTGAATTTCCTTCAAACAAGATAATTAGTATGGGAATGCCGCCTGCTTCAGGTCACCCAAACCCAGGCTCTTTTTTGGTTTTAATATACACATTTAGCAAGCTTTCTCCCGACAGATATGTCAAATAAGACTCATAGCACATCAGCAACTGTTAATCTGTTGAAAACACCTACATGGCCCCTACTATAGTATCTGAGCACCTCACAATCTTTAATGTATTTTTCCCCTCCCAAAACCACCCATGTAAGGTAGCAAAGTTCTACTACCCCAGCTTTATAGATGGAGAACTGAGGCCCTGATCGTCAAATGTATTTAGGCTCCTAACTTCCAGTGGATCCAGGCCCAAATGACTTGTCCAAGGTCACACAAGACAGTCGGTAGTGGAACTAGGAATTGAACCCAGAGTCCCAGCCTTGACCATGGGACCATCCTTTGTCCACTCTACCAAAATGCAAAACAAAAATCTCTCCACATGTTATTTCTATAGTCCAAAGTTTACACTACATGGAGGGAGGGAATAAAACATTTATAAACCTCAGAAGCCTAACTTGCGCAATTCCAAATGTTCAAAAGACATATGCACATGCTGTTGACTGAAAATAAGATTCTACTGACATACCATGTCTGCAGGGCCTACCAACTGAAATGACAATGAGGCTGAGGAGAGCACACAACCCTGGAGTTTAGAGAGAGAGAAACAAAACCAGACTCTATCATGAGCAGCTATTATATAACGGAGATCACTATTAAAAAGAAAAAAAAGGCTATTCAGATTATAGAAAACTGAAAACCAAGTCCTCCCCTCAAACTATGGCTTCTTTGCTCTCTAATTCCTGGGAGGATAGTACTTTTAAATTCAAGAATCTCTTGTCTTCATCAAAACAATGGAAAATAAAAATAAACGGTCTATGTACAATATTTCTTTTCAAAATGATCGGAAGTTTTGCAGAATAAAGCAAGGGGTGGTTAAACTTGTTAAGATAAAATAAGAGCGCATCCAAACTTCTGTCTCCAAAATCAAACTGGACCTTTTTACAGGTTAGAAGGTGTCTGGATATATTTCCCCCTAGTGGTTTTCATTTTTGTGTGTTTGTGTGCAACCAGAAGTAGAAGTGCTGAAATAATGATGGTGTTGTGGGAAATGTTATTTCTGGCTCAACTGGAAGCAGAAAGTATTGAAAAATTTAGCGGGCAAACCTGAATCTCAATTTTGTATTCTCTTGTTCAGAGATCCAGCGGAACTTCTGGGTACTTATCCAAATCAAACTGGGAGTTCAGTGCTGCTCCCACTTTGCATGCAATGTACGGGTGCTCAAACTGCATTTAAACTGAGCCTATTATTGCTGCCTATGCAAAACTAGCACATTGGTATTTCTCTGTTGGACTCTAATTGTCTGTGAATCATTACATTGAAGGTGTGCCTGTGTACTCCATGTGTGAAGTATGCAAATGGAGATTTTCCCTAGGGAAATGGCATTATGCTAGTCCAGATACTGAGCCCTGGTCTACACTAGGACTTTAGGTCGAATTTAGCAGCGTTAAATCGATGTAAACCTGCACCCGTCCACACAATGAAGCCCTTTATTTCGACTTAAAGGGCTCTTAAAATCGATTTCCTTACTCCACCCCTGACAAGTGGATTAGCACTTAAATCGACGTTGCCGGCTCGAATTTGGGGTACTGTGGACACAATTCGATGGTGAGCTATCCCAGAGTGCTCCATTATGACCGCTCTGGACAGCACTCTCAACTCAGATGCACTGGCCAGGTAGACAGGAAAAGAACCGCGAACTTTTGAATCTCATTTCCTGTTTGGCCAGCGTGGCAAGCTGCAGGTGACCATGCAGAGCTCATCAGCACAGGTGACCATGATGGAGTCCCAGAATCGCAAAAGAGCTCCAGCATGGACCGAACGGGAGGTACGGGATCTGATCGCTGTTTGGGGAGAGGAATCCGTGCTATCAGAACTCCGTTCCAGTTTTCGAAATGCCAAAACCTTTGTGAAAATCTCCCAGGGCATGAAGGACAGAGGCCATAACAGGGACCCGAAGCAGTGCCGCGTGAAACTGAAGGAGCTGAGGCAAGCCTACCAGAAAACCAGAGAGGCGAACAGCCACTCTGGGTCAGAGCCCCAAACATGCCGCTTCTATGATGAGCTGCATGCCATTTTAGGGGGTTCAGCCACCACTACCCCAGCCGTGTTGTTTGACTCCTTCAATGGAGATGGAGGCAATACGGAAGCAGGTTTTGGGGACGAAGAAGATGATGAGGAGGAGGAGGTTGTAGATAGCTCACAGCAAGCAAGCGGAGAAACCGGTTTTCCCGACAGCCAGGAACTGTTTCTCACCCTAGACCTGGAGCCAGTACCCCCCGAACCCACCCAAGGCTGCCTCCTGGACCCAGCAGGCGGAGAAGGGACCTCTGGTGAGTGTACCTTTTAAAATACTATACATGGTTTAAAAGCAAGCATGTGAAAGGATTACTTTGCCCTGGTATTTGCGGTTCTCCTAGATGTAGTCCTAAAGCCTTTGCAAAAGGTTTCTGGGGAGGGCAGCCTTATTGCGTCCTTCATGGTAGGACACTTTACCACTCCAGGCCAGTAACACGTACTCGGGAATCATTGTAGAACAAAGCATTGCAATGTATGTTTGCTGGCATTCAAACAACATCCGTTCTTTATCTCTCTGTGTTATCCTCAGGAGAGTGAGATATAATTCATGGTCACCTGGTTGAAATAGAGTGCTTTTCTTCAGGGGACACTCAGAGGAGCCCATTCCTGCTGGGCTGTTTGCCTGTGGCTAAACAGAAATGTTCCCCGCTGTTAGCCACAGGGAGGGGGGAAGGTTGAGGGGGTAGTCACGCGGTGGGAGGAGGCAAAATGCAACCTTGTAACGAAAGCATATGTGCTATGTATGTAATGTTAACAGCAAGGTTTACCCTGAAAGAGTGTAGCCACTGTTTTATAAAATGTGTCTTTTTAAATACCGCTGTCCCTTTTTTTTTCTCCACCAGCTGCATGTGTTTCAATGATCACAGGATCTTCTCCTTCCCAGAGGCTAGTGAAGCTTAGAAAAAAAAAAACGCACTCGCGATGAAATGTTCTCCGAGCTCATGCTGTCCTCCCACACTGACAGAGCACAGACGAATGCGTGGAGGCAAATAATGTCAGAGTGCAGGAAAGCACAAAATGACCGGGAGGAGGGGGGGGGGAGAGGTGGCGGGCTGAAGAGAGTAAGTGGCGGGCTGAAGACAGGGCTGAAGCTCAAATGTGGCGGCAGCGTGATGAGAGGAGGCAGGATTCAATGCTGAGGCTGCTGCAGGACCAAACCAGTATGCTCCAGTGTATGGTTGAGCTGCAGCAAAGGCAGCTGGAGCACAGACTGCCACTGCAGCCCCTCTGTAACCAACCGCCCTCCTCCCCAAGTTCCATAGTCTCCACACCCAGACGCCCAAGAACGCGGTGGGGGGGGCCTCCGGCCAACCAGCCACTCCACCACAGAGGATTGCCCAAAAAAAAGAAGGCTGTCATTCAATAAATTTTAAAGTTGTAAACTTTTAAAGTGCTGTGCTTAAAGTGCTGTGTGGCATTTTCCTTCCCTCCTCCACCACCCCTCCTGGGCTACCTTGGTAGTCATCCCCCTATTTGTGTGATGAATGAATAAAGAATGCATGAATGTGAAGCATCAATGACTTTATTGCCTCTGCAAGCGGTGATTGAAGGGAGGAGGGGCGGGTGGTTAGCTTACAGGGAAGTAGAGTGAACCAAGGGGCGGGGGGTTTCATCAAGGAGAAACAAACAGAACTTTCACACCGTAGCCTGGCCAGTCATGAAACTGGTTTTCAAAGCTTCTCTGATGCGTACCGCGCCCTCCTGTGCTCTTCTAACCACCCTGGTGTCTGGCTGCGCGTAACCAGCAGCCAGGCGATTTGCCTCAACCTCCCACCCCACCATAAACGTCTCCCCCTTACTCTCACAGATATTGTGGAGCACACAGCAAGCAGTAATAACAGTGGGAATATTGGTTTCGCTGGGGTCTAAGCGAGTCAGTAAACTGCACCAGCGCGCCTTTAAACGTCCAAATGCACATTCTACCACCATTCTGCACTTGCTCAGCCTGTAGCTGAACAGCTCCTGACTACTGTCCAGGCTGCCTGTGTACGGCTTCATGAGCCATGGCATTAAGGGGTAGGCTGGGACCCCAAGGATACATATAGGCATTTCAACATCCCCAACAGTTATTTTCTGGTCTGGGAATAAAGTCCCTTCCTGCAGCTTTTGAAACAGACCAGAGTTCCTGAAGATGTGAGCGTCATGTACCTTTCCCGGCCATCCCACGTTGATGTTGGTGAAACATCCCTTGTGATCCACCAGTGCTTGCAGCACCATTGAAAAGTACCCCTTGCGGTTTATGTACTCGGTGGCTTGGTGCTCCGGTGCCAAGATAGGGATATGGGTTCCGTCTATAGCCCCACCACAGTTAGGGAATCCCATTGCAGCAAAGCCATCCACTATGACCTGCACATTTCCCAGGGTCACTACCCTTGATATCAGCAGATCTTTGATTGCGTGGGCTACGTGCATCACAGCAGCCCCCACAGTAGATTTGCCCACTCCAAATTGATTCCCAACTGACCGGTAGCTGTCTGGCGTTGCAAGCTTCCACAGGGCTATCGCCACTCGCTTCTCAACTGTGAGGGCTGCTCTCATCTTGGTATTCATGCGCCTCAGGGCAGGGGAAAGCAAGTCACAAAGTTCCATGAAAGTGCCCTTACGCATGCGAAAGTTTCGCAGCCACTGGGAATCGTCCCAGACCTGCAACACTATGCGGTCCCACCAGTCTGTGCTTGTTTCCTGAGCCCAGAATCGGCGTTCCACAGCATGAACCTGCCCCATTAGCACCATGATGCATGCATTGGCAGGGCCCATGCTTTCAGAGAAATCTGTGTCCATGTCCTGATCACTCACGTGACCGCGCTGACGTCGCCTCCTCGCCCGGTATCGCTTTGCCAGGTTCTGGTGCTGCATATACTGCTGGATAATGCGTGTGGTGTTTAATGTGCTCCTAATTGCCAAAGTGAGCTGAGCGGCCTCCATGCTTGCCTTGGTATGGCGTCCGCACAGAAAAAAGGCGCGGAACGATTGTCTGCCGTTGCTCTGACGGAGGGAGGGGCGACTGACGACACGGCTTACAGGGTTGGCTTCAGGGAGCTAAAATCAACAAAGGGGGTGTCTGTACATCAAGGAGTATTTCAGGCAGGACTTCACGGAGGGTTCCAATAAGAAATGGTGCACCTAAGTTATCGTTCTTATTGGAACAAGGAGGTTAGCCTGGCCTCTGATTGATACATGGCTAGATTTACCTCGCTGCACCTTCTCTGTGAGTTACTGCAGTGTGACCTAGAGGAATGAGTCCCCTAGACAGGGGAGGAGGCAAATGAGTACAAAACAAATCTGGTCTATTTCTTGTTTTGACCCACTCCATCTATCTTTTGCATCTTTGGCTGGCAGCAGACGGTGCAGAAGGACTGCATGCCATCCACATCTCATGGCTGCTCAGCGGAAGATGGTACAGTATGACTGCTAGCCATCCTCATCTCTTGCCTGCCTGGCAGAAGATGGTACAGTACGACTGCTAGCCATCCTCATCTCTTGCCTGCCTGGCAGAAGATGGTACAATACGACTACTAGCAATCCTCATCTCTTGCCTGCCTGGCAGAAGATGGTACAGTACGACTGCTAGCAGTCCGTATCGCCTGCCCGCTCACCATAAGACGGTTCAATAGGACTGACTGCAGGACTAAAGAGAATGACCTGGTCAAGTCACTCCAAATTTAGTCCCTGCGCCCATGTCTGCCCAGGCGCTCCCAGCTGACGTGGCCAGGAGCACCTCGGACACGACGAGGACGACTACCAGTCGTATTGCACCGTCTGCTGCCAGAAGGCAATGGGTTGCTGCTACTGTGCAGCAAAGCCGTACTGCGTCTGCCAGCACCCAGGAGACATAGGGTGACGGTTACCTGAGCGGGCTCCATGCTTGCCGTGGTATGGCGTCTGCACAGGTAACTCAGGAAAAAAGGCGCGAAATGATTGTCTGCCCTTGCTTTCACGGAGGGAGGGAGGGAACGGGGGCCTGACGATATGTACCCAGAACCACCCGCGACAATGTTTTAGCCCCATCAGGCATTGGGATCTCAACCCAGAACTCCAATGGGCAGCGGAGACTGCGGGAACTGTGGGATAGCTACCCACAGTGCAACGCTCCGGAAGTCGACTCTAGCCTCGGTACTGTGGAAGCACTCCACCGAGTTAATGCACTTAATGCACTTAGAGCATTTTCTGTGGGGACACACACACTCGAATATATAAAACCGATTTCTAAAAAACCGACTTCTATAAGTTCGACCTTATTCCGTAGTGTAGACATACCCTCAGTGAACTCTGCACCAAAGCAGTGTTTAGCAATCTGTATCTTTACTATATTACATTCCTCTATATCAGCAAATTGCAGGTGAAGCAAGGTGAGGTCACTCCACTTCTATTCTTCTGGTACTTTGCAGATATTAATGTTTAGATATTTTTCCATTTTCTCTCCAGTACAAGACCCAACAACTATCCGATGAAGTGAGCTGTAGCTCACGAAAGCTCATGCTCAAATAAATTGGTTAGTCTCTAAGGTGCCACAAGTACTCCTTTTCTTTTTGCAAATACAGACTAACACGGCTGTTACTCTGAAACCTAACAACTATAGTGTTTCGTAGTGTGATGCAAGTGCTTTCATAGACATGGAAACACAGATTGGCACACTAAGGAAGTTGTAGTGTATTAAGCTTCTTGAGTAACACAGACAGCAGATGAAAGACAGCACAAAGTTTTCCGAGTGAACGGAACCAGGTTTTTTTTCTTTTCAATTAGGCTGCTGACTTTCATGCAAAGATCGTGTCTCAGAGGATTAGAACACAGCAAATGCTTCAGGTCATCCCAGGTTCTGTTCTTTTCCTTAGTTATATTTATTGAGAAGTTGAAAGAGCCTATTCATGTGGAACAGCTAACTAAGAAAAGGAAAATATCTGACAATGATTAAACTTCTGTTGCTTGTGAAGGTACATGAGAATGACAGATTATGCTGCATGTGTTGATTGGTATCTTATCTGCTTATGTATAGCGACCTTCCAATTCATCCTTGAATGTTGAGTCTTATGTGTATGGCCCTACCAATTCACAGTCCATTTTGTTCAATTTCACGGTTATAGGATTTTTAAAAAAGTAAATGTCATGATTTCAGCTATTTAAATCTGAAATTTCATGGTGTCGTAATTGTAGGAGTCCTGACCCAAAAAGAAGTTGTGTGTGTGTGTGTGTGTGGGGGGGGTGTTGCAAGGTTGTTGGGGGGGGGTGCCATGGTACTGCTACCCTTACTTCTGCATTGCTGCTGGCGGTGCTGCCTTCAGAGCTGGGTGCCCAGCCAACAGCTGCCACTTTCTGACCACCCAGCTCTGAAGGCAGAGCAGAAGTACGGGTGGCAATACCACGACCCCCCTAAAATAACCTTGTGACCCCCCTGCAACTCCCTTTTGGGTCAGGACCCCCACTTTGAGAAATGCTGATGTTCCCTGGGAAATAGGTAAAAGCACACAAAAGACCAGATTTCATGGGGGGGAGGGAGACCAGATTTTACAGTCCGTGACGTGTTTTTCATGACTGAATTTGGTAGGGCCCTATCTATGTGTTAAAAGAAGGTGTATAAGTAAGGGTGGATAAGGTATTTGGGCTATGGGCATTGACATCTATTATAGAAATTAGAAATGGGACAAAGATTTTGTTTTGCAAACTAGCTTTGCAAAACCAAAATAAACCCTCTGGAGTGATTTGAATCTGGGTTTCATTTTATCAGGACCACCTCATCTTTTTGGAAGTAGGAGGGTCAGTTAAAAGGTTCTGATTCGGGCCACCTCTAACAGACATCTAAAGTATTGTTGCAATTTTAATGCACAGTTGTGAAAAAAAAATCATATAAACTTTTCTGAGAGTCATGGAGTTGTACATGGATCTGTTACACTTGAAGACATCCTAAAATTGACACCATATATTTGCTCTTTGAAGTGTGCATAACATGTGTAAAGTTGATATAATATAGTGTATTCAAGTGATCACCTTTCAAGCAAGCTTGAATTTACCCAATTATGCAATGTCTGTCTGCTCATATTC